TCGGTGAAGCCGGAGCAGTTGATGGCAGAGACTTGCTCGAGAACGCAGAGGTCGTGAGTTTGGGAAAGAAGTTCTTCGACGGCAGAGTCGTCGGTATCAGAGAGGAAGGAGAAATCCGCCATTGTTGAGGAGTGAAGAAAAAGGGATTTGATTCTGTTAGGGAAAGAGACGAACGAAGGCCGCCATAGCCGGGGTAGTGATTGGAGAAAAAGTCGGCAAATGGGGTCTAACGGCTATTTCATATCACTCCAACGCGTGAAACCCACTCTCGGACCGGAGCCTATATTTACCATTTTTAAATATTTTACAAATTGAATTTTGAGTTCGAATTTTCATTTTAAGTAGGCATATATCGGTAGTCGAAAAATAGTTTTGTTTGATAGGATGTGAAATTTGTTGGAGGCAACCGAACTTAATTAAGAGATTTATTTGTTAATTTGAATTTTTACCCGACATGTTATTGTATTAAAAAAATTAATGAAAATCTATACTTAGATATAAAATATCACAATTTATAAACTTTTAGATTGGTAAGATTGAGTGTCTAATAGATTATAAAGTTTCAATTTTGTGTTTAATATAGTTCATAATTCATAAATTTATTTTTTTTTACAAAAATTCATAGATTTGTTAAACGAAAAAATGAATTATAGGATCTCATTGAATACAAATTTAGTTTGCAAAATACAAGAAGGAAGAAGTAAAATAAAAAATTTAATGATTTACGGGACATAAAATTAAGCGTCGGATATATTAAATATAAATTAAATTTGTTAAAATTTATTACATTTTTTCATTTAAGAGATTTATTAGATATGAATTTTTAATTATACCCGAAATATTATCGACCTCAATAAATTAATCCAGAAAAGAAGATATAAACACGTGTACATCTCTGATTCGTTGAAAAGCAAGTGGCAGAGGTTCGAAACTGGTATGACATACGAATTGTATGTACTGTAGTGACAGTGGAGCAGAAGGGCAGGGATAGGGCCACAGCGCTGTCATCATCCGTTACATCACAGCATTCAACTGCTCCTCTTTTCCCCCTTATTTTCAGCCAATCACAAAAGTGCTGCACCCGTCATTCGTCACCGTGTCGTTCACACAATTTGAATTGAATATGCCGATTTCGCTTTCCCTTTGGAAAATGAACATTTGATTAGGTGGGGATATTTTGGATTGGTGACTCGTAAAATACGTTTTTGGTCAAATGGGTCGTTGACGGTATTATGGTAATTGCAATAATATTTTCAAGTTTTAATAAAAAATTTCATTTTACATGTCATGTGTGTAGTTAGATTTCATGTTTTTATGTTAATCTTACAGTGATTTTGGAACTAGAGAGATCACAATATCTACCATTCTCACAAAAACTTTCAAGAGAACTTTGTCACATGGAGGGAAGCAAAAATTAATCTTAATATTACACCACAAATGTTCTTACCAACAATACACCAATTGAAATTATAGAATTGATCGAGATTGAGAAAGTTGGATACCTCTGGAGCCTTATGCCTTATACCTATAAGCTTAACATGATGTTGCTGTTCTCAATGGGAGTGTTAGCCTTGATGCTATAATCCGTGACTCAAATGGTTAGGTAATCACTTCTGCCTAGACATTTTAAACGATATTGGGATATGCGGTGCTTGCTGAACTTTGAATGAAAGCATCACTTTGGAACAAGAATCGGGTATTGGACTGCTGTGGACAAAAATTGACTACTTCGTTATATGGAATCTGACACGGGACACGAGGGTTATGATAATGAAACTCAGCTCTTTATCAACGAAATCAAGGAAAATTTGTGAGAAAGTTGTTGATGGCTTCCTTCTTACCTAAAGGGCTTGTAATAAAGTTACGCACGCCTTAGCAACCATGCTCGAAAAACTCGGCACTTTGAAATTTGGATTGTTTGCACTCTTTGTGAGTAAGTTTGGTTGTGTCAAATATTTATGTCTATGTTTTGGATTTATGTAACCGTGTTGATTGATTACGAGTGTATTTGTAAGTTGAACTTATTGTGTTTTATTGGTTAGTTTAATAAATATTTTTTATTTTTTATTTTGAGGAGATATTAGTTTAACTAAAAGTTTAAGATTAAAATTAGTTTACTAAATTAAATACCTAGAGAGTAGTGCCTTTTTACAAATGGCACATCTCTCTATCTTAATTTATCATTTATAGTTTTATTTTGGAAACAATAATACCTTACAATAATTTTTGTCCTTATCAAGAATCTATGCTAGGCAAGCTATTGGAAAAGAGAATATAACAAGGTTGGAGATTTAAGTGATTGTTTAACTTATTGGTTAGCTATATCGTGTAACATAAGGTTAAAAAGCGATTTTACTGAGTTTGTTTATCTTAGACTATAAAATTACCAATCTGATAAACTGCATAAACTTAAAATACACAAATTAAAACTTATAAAACTCGTATTTTATACACTAATCTAGTTAAATCGTAAAGTCATTGATCAAATAAAATTACCAACCGTCTCAATTTCCACCTCCATATTTGTAACATTATATTCAAAAAATCACACAAGTTCAAGATGTTTTAACCATTGAGATATGTTCACGTTTACATTCTTTCGTATAAATCAAAACATATTAAAAAAGTATAGTGTCTTGTTCTTTCGTATAAATCATTCTTACTTCAATCGTAAGTTCAAATCTCGAATCGATTGCCAAAAAATATATATCCTTTTTTCTTTGTCACTTTTTCCTTTTTCTTTGTCCACTCATCCCACCATGCCACTTGTCTCTCCTCTCTCTCTATCAACCTATTTCATTTCTCTACTCTAAAATATGAATCAACATTTTTTTTCTGCATAAAGACACTAAAAAAAAGAGACAAAAAAGGGAAAAAGAAATCAAAGAAACAAAGATAGAAAAATGGGATGGAAGAATTAGAAGAAGAGATTCCCAATGATCAACAAAAAATGCTGAGATTAGTAGAGTGGTTAGAGCAGTTGAAGAAAGTAGCAATGTCTCATTCCCAATCCATTTCCCATAAGAAACCTCCTCCTCCTTCTCCTTCTTCTTCCTCCCAAAATCAGAATCGAAATCGAAATCAGATCCCCAATGAAGGAATCGTCGAAGCCATGGCTGCCGTTCTCCGCCAACTGCTGCTCCGCCGACGACCAGACCGCCTTCGGGAACTTCAGCCGCTGCCGCCCCAACCGCTCCGACTTCTCCAAGAACATCGCGCCGCTGCCGTCGTTCCGGCGGCTGTCGTTCTCCGACCTCAGCCGATCGTCGTCGATGCGATTGAACGAGGATCTGGCGGCGTCGTTTGGGGCGGATTTGTTTGATTTTCAGCTGAGCGAGTTGCGTGCGATTACTCAGAATTTCTCGAGCAATTTCTTGCTCGGAGAAGGGGGATTCGGCCGGGTTCATAAGGGCTATGTCGACGACAACTTCCGGCAAGGCCTTAGGGCTCAGGCCGTCGCCGTTAAGCTTCTGGATAATCAGGGGTTGCAGGGCCACCGAGAATGGCTTGTAAGCTTTTCCATTAAACCTCTTCTTCTTCCTCTCTTCTCCTTTGGTTTAATTTCAAATTTAGTTAATGATACTTTAAATATTATAAAAATAAATTACAATTTTATCTCTATTTTTAAAAACTTTATAATAAATCAAATTTTGATGTTAATTCCGTCGGTTTAACTCGATGTGACAAGCTCTCTATATTAATTAACAATTACATGACAAAGTTATTTCGAATAAGTGCAAGTATAAAGCTAATGAATTTATTAAATAGAAATTTAAAAAATTAAATAAACAAAACTTTGAAATTTTGAAAAGTCGCACGATTGATCCGACACAATCACACACCTAAAAAGTTTAAGAACTCAAATTATTAGTTAACCTTCACTTTATCATAATAAATCTTTGTTTCAAACAAACTTACTTAAATGCTTTGATACTAGTAAAAAAAAAGGTCATTTAGATATAATAAATAAGAGATGATGGGGTAGGTATGTTAAATGTGTTTTATATGATTTTTTTAACATCTAACGTTATTATTTTATCAGGTTGACTTCTTCTTGCATCAGAATCAAATTACACTTGTTAGTTTATATAAATGTGTCACCTCAACATTAAAAAAACTAAATATTCTTTCATTCTTCTCGATGAAAATTCGGAAAAGAACACCGTGGACTAAACAGTGCCAATTGCCCCAAATTTGTAATTTGAGTTTGCAGTGTTTTTGAGGGTGAGTTTGTGACCAATCCAATAAGGTTTACAAGATTTTCTCTATTTTGGTAGGCTGAAGTAGTATTTCTTGGACAGCTGAGGCATCCAAATCTGGTAAAATTGATAGGCTATTGCTGTGAAGATGAAGAAAGGCTCCTTGTTTATGAGTTCTTGCCCAGAGGCAGCTTGGAGAACCACTTATTCAAAAGTCAGCTTCTTCATTTTCTCAAAACTCAAAAAACCCTTCTCCAAATTCTGAGTTTTCTCCTCCATTGCTGAGCGTTTGCAGGGCTTTCAGTGTCGTTGCCATGGACGACGAGGCTCAAGATCGCCATCGGAGCAGCTAAGGGTGTCGACTTCCTTCACGGGGCAGAGAAACCTGTCATTTACAGAGACTTCAAAACATCCAATGTTCTGTTAGACTCGGTTTGTTTGCTTTCTTTTTCTTGCAGTGTTTTCGAAGAAGAAAACGAGTTGAAAGGACAAAATCTGGGAGTTGTTGATGATGTTTTTTTTGAAGTTTTTACATGTTTGTGGGATCATAGGATTTTACAGCGAAATTGTCTGATTTTGGACTGGCAAAGATGGGACCTGAGGGATCAGACACCCATGTTACCACAAGAGTAATGGGAACATATGGCTATGCTGCCCCTGAATACATCTCCACAGGCAAATTTTCTTTTATTTTCTTCTCTTGTTTCCAATTGCAAACTTGTCATTATTCAAAATTGTCATTTCAGATTTCAACTTAAAACCCTTGTTGTCTCCCAAAGCTAACCACAGGGCAAAGCCCCGACGGGATTAGTGGGAGTTGGCTAAGAGTATATGCAAGAAGTGGACACTCTAAATCTCGATTATAAAAAGCTTAGACTAGTCTAATGGCTTAAACTTTTAGGTTTAGTGGTGTTTTAATATGTTCAAACTTCAGAGAATGTACCCTTGTCTAAACACTCATGCGGGTTGCAACTCGATGTTTACCTTAGGGCACTTGACCACGAAAAGCGACGTATACAGTTTTGGAGTGGTGCTTTTGGAGCTTCTTACAGGAAGAAGAGCAGTGGAGAAATCAAGAGCGAAGAATGACCAAAACCTTGTGGACTGGGCAAAGCCATACCTGAGCAGCAGTCGCAGGTTGCACTGCATAATGGACCCAAGACTTTGCGGGCAGTACTCTGTGAAAGGGGCAAAGGGAATGGCCATTCTTGCCCTCCAATGCACCAGCTTGAACCCTAAAGACAGGCCCAGAATGCCAGCCATTGTTGAAGCCCTTGAAAGCCTTCTTCAGTTCAAGGACATGGCTGTTACTTCTGGCCACTGGTCTGCCTCTGCCTCGCCTAAACATGCCAGAAATGGCGTCTCTGCTAAGGCCAAAATGGAGACAGGACGTGGGAATCTCCCGAGATCGTCTCTGGCTGCTTCGAGCCAGAGATGATCGGTGTCTGTATTTAGGCAAAAATTGCAGAGGTTCTATGTGAATATATATGTAAATCATGAATGCTACAATATGTAAATGCAGGGTTCCTTCCCTTTGATGGGATTGGTCTCATCTTTATCAGAGTATAAATGTTAGAAGTCTGGACAAGTCTCGGAATTGAACTCGAGATTGAGCAAAAATTCGGTGAAAATAGTTTTAGGGTAGCTGTTTTCTTAAAGCTACTGGCCTGTTGCACAATACGATAACTATCTCAACTTTTAGAAGGCAAACAATTCAATCACAATTCTTAAAATCTGGTTTGAAGAATAGACTGATAAAACATGTAATTGAGAGCAACAATTTTGAAAGAGAAACTTCAGAGTTTCAAGGACAGATTATCAATAAAAACAATACCTCTTTTCTTCGAGAAGACGCCACAACATGTGAACTGCATAGATATTGGATCCAGATCAAATACTTGCAATGCAAATTTCCTCAAAATCTGCCTCAATAGAATGCAACTTTGCCTTCTGGGTTGACTTTCTACACTTCTTCCGAATTTGAAAAGTCTCTTCCACATCAGACCACGTCTATATCTATTTATATATATTTATATATATTTATATAATGAGAGAGAGAGAGAGAGAGAGAGAGAGAGAGAAACGTACTGCGTTTCATGTGGCAGTCTTGAACTGGAAGAAGCAAAAACAGTGGAAAATATTCCACCTTTTTTCAATGGGTAAGGCCGCGAGAAGCGCACTTTGAGAATGAAAAAATCTAAAAAAACTCCCAAAACTCATTTCCACTTTGCTTCAGTGCGTGCCCAACTCCCCACTTTCCCCCAAACTTTTCTTCCAAAAACAATTTCCATGGAATTCAATCCCAAAAAGACACTCCATCTTCTCCATTTCCCATCTCCCTTTCTCCTTCTCCATTCCCAACCATGGCTTTCAACTCCAAATTCCCAAAGAAACCCACTGTTTCTCCCTCCCAGTGCAATCTTTGTACCACCCTTTTCTTCGTCGTTCTCTTCACGGTTCCCACTCTGTTTCTCTTCCACACCTCCACCATCTCTGTGTGCTCTCTCTCTGCCTCGTCCGCCCGCCTGAACACATGGTTCGGAGATCTTCGTGATGCTCAGTTTTCTTGGAATCGGCTTGCTTTTGTCGAAGAACGTCCGCCACCCGTTGCTCTGAAAATTGCAGTATTCTCGAGAAAATGGCCGATCGGAACAGTCCCAGGTGGAATGGAGCGGCACGCTCACACGCTTCACACGGCTCTAGCTCGCCGTGGCCATCGCGTTCATGTTTTCACCTCACCACCGCCCGACCATGGCGGTCAAAACGTTTCTTCAGCAACTTCAGCGCCGTACATCCATTGGCACGACGGAGAACCAGGCCGGTGGCGGTACAACAAAGCGTGGGAGCAATACGAAGAAGAAAACCGCCGAGAACCGTTCGACGTTATTCACTCCGAGAGCGTCGCCCTTCCTCACTGGTTAGCCAAAAAGCTCCCGAATCTCGCGGTTTCTTGGCACGGGATTGCGCTGGAGAGCTTGCAATCGGACATATTCCAGGACCTGGCTCGCCGGCCGAACGAGCCGATGCCGCCGGCTTTCAACAAGAACATTCAAGGAGACGTCCCGAAGGTACTGAACGAGATCCGATTCTTCCAAAATTATGCTCACCACGTCGCAATTAGCGACAGTTGCGGAGAGATGCTCCGAGACGTCTACCAAATCCCGAGCAGAAGAGTCCACGTGATCGTCAACGGCGTCGACGAAGAAGATTTCGGCGAGGATTTCAAATTAGGGCAAGAATTTAGGGCCAGAATCGGGATACCTGAAAACGCGAGTATAGTCCTGGGAGTCGCCGGAAGATTAGTGAAAGACAAAGGCCATCCGCTACTCCACGAAGCTTTCTCCATCCTCACAGAGCATCATCCGAACGTGTACCTGATCGTCGCCGGAGCAGGACCATGGGAGCAACGGTACAGAGATCTAGGTCCTCGAGTACTGGTACTAGGATCGATGAGTCCGTCAGAACTTAGGGCTTTCTACAATTCAATCGACATCTTCGTGAATCCAACGCTCCGGCCACAGGGACTGGATCTGACTCTGATGGAGGCCATGGCGAGTGGGAAGCCGGTAATGGCGTCGAGGTTTCCGAGCATAAAAGGGACCATAGTTGTGGATGACGAGTACGGATTCCTGTTCGCTCCAAACGTGGAATCGTTGGTGGAGACGCTGGAAGCGGCGGCGAAAGAAGGCCCTGAACGGCTGATGCGGCGGGGAAAGGCTTGCCGGCGATACGCGGCGTCCATGTTCACCGCTCGGAAGATGGCTCTGGCTTATGAGAGGTTATTTCTCTGCATCAGATATGAAACTTTTTGTAATTACCCTTAAAAAAAAAAAAACCTTTTTGGTTAAAATTTCTTTTTTGTTCAAATTTCTATGTTGCGTTAAAATTTCAAACATTTCATTTAATAATGTAGAGAGCTTCTTCAATAGAAATATATATATATTAGTATAATTCGTTCTCCATTTATTTAAACTTTTGATGAATTAGAGAGCTCTTCTTCTTCAATAGGAAAAAAAAAATAGTATAATTCGTATTCCATTTATTTAAACTTTTGATGAAATTACATTTTGATATTTGAGCTTAATTTATATAGAGTGCATTTAACACCATTATATTCTATAGTTTGAGTAATTTAAAGTGAACTTGAGCATAATTTATCACATTATAATTGGTTACAGATTTAAAACTTCTCCTTAAATTGTTCAACTAAACAAAGGTTTTGTAGTTTAAAAGATTTCTGATTAAAATTATAAATGTATTTAATATAAATAGATCAAAGTTTAAAGATGAAAAAAGTTATATATTTTAAACTATGAGGATCAAAACAAAACCGAGAACTGAGAATTTAGGAGCTAAAATTTGATTTGAAACTCTTTTGGCAATATTACTGTTTTTTTTTTTTGTTTCTTAATAAGAAAAACAGAATTTCATTTGAAAATTGACTCAATAAGTTAGATACTCAATTTATTTAAACTTAGTAGTTGTATTTTTAAACTAAAATAAAAAGCTAAGTCACACAGGATGATCCATGTACCGTTTTTTAGTATAACATGTGGGGGTGGGGATCGAACTCACAACCTTTTGGTTGGACATATATATCAATTACTGTTGTTTTGGATTATGTACTTTATTTCTTCATTCACTACATTAATTTGGCATTACATGTTTTTTTAGTACAATTAATTTAAAGATAGAGTATTGAATTACTAAATTTTAAAAATTGAATAAGATGTCTTAATCGCTAAATTATGATCATGTTGGTTTAGCACATGTAATTTGATACCACATGCAACATAAATGTGGTACAACACATAAATGTGATATATTTGCTTTACCCCGAAAAAACGTGATATATTTGTACATATGTGAGTTAATGTAGCGTCATGTGTGGGTGTGGCCATGTGTAAATGTTGGGACCTCACGAAAACAAGAACATGGCCAAGCTAGCTCAATCGTCAAATATTCCCCTTCACAGTAAAAAAAATTCTCTATACATCTATTTTTTCAGTACTGGATATGTGAGTTTAAACTTCCGACCTAAAAAAAATACAGGTATTAACTAACGATTGAACTATGTTCATGTTAGTATTAGTTGATCTACTTATCAATTAAAAGTAAAAAAGTAAACTACATTAGAAAGTTAGTATAATCTCGTAATTATCAGTATGTAGGTAAGTATCATTCATAGAATAGTAACGAGGATTAAAATAGTTGTTTTTTAAGGATTAAAATGATATTTTAAAAGACAATATGAGCCTAGTTTGATAAATTTGTACCGATCTCTGACCAATATGTCATGAGTTCAAATTTCCTTTCGATTTATTTTAAAAGTTTAGTAACCAAATTAAATGCTTTTAAAATGGTATGATATTATCTGCATTGAGCAAAACCTGATGATTATATTTTTTATGTCCAAAATATCTAATACCATAAAGATGTTCTTGATTTTTCCTGCATTTTATCCAGTCATATAAGACTTGATGGCTTTTCAACAATTCTCTCTTTAAATAGTCATCGCTGGGTTCTTATTCAAACCAACTTCTGTTGAACATACTTTAAAAGATTCATCTATTGGAATTTCAACAAATTAATTTCCCAGCTGGATCTTGAAGAAGAGAAGGTACAACTACAAATTATGCTATCATTTAAGCACAAGGATAGAAATTAATGATATCAAACTGAAACTAGAATATCATACTCAAAATACCAAAATTCATGTACTGAATGATAATAATAGTGATAATCAGATGAATCAATACAATCGATTTGAGCTACTGAAAATCCTATTACGTTCAAAGTGGTCATAAGCATGTCTGGTTCTGAAGAACAACAACACACTCGAAACCAATCCCACCACAGAAACGCATCCACAAAACAAAAAGGTGAAGAAATAGCACCTTCTTCCCATGCACACAACCGCCTCGCCATGGCCGGAGCTTCCGTGCGAATCGTACACAACCGCCGCCAGCATGCCGTACAGCAGCGATCCGATCGGAATGTTTGTGATCAGAATATTGTGGTTCACGCCTAAGCTGTTCGGCCCGAAGAGCTCCGCTGTTATGGAAACTGCGGCGGCGAATATGAAGCCGGAGCTCATACCGACCAGCGCCGTGCCTATGTACACGGTCACCGTGGTGGACGACGCCGCTAACAGGAAGAATGCTATTGGAGTTGGAATTAGCGCAATCGACAGCCATCCTGTTCTTGCGAAGTACAGTTTCCTGCAGAAGAAAAATTGGCGGTGTTTGTGTTAGGTAAAGCAGAGAAAACAGGGGAGGAATTCAATTGGATGGATTAAATTGTTAATTACGCTCGAATGTAGTCCGGTACGGCGGAGAGCAATCGGCCGAAGAAGGAGAAGGCGGAGTAGAGTGTTACGATGGCGTTGGTTCTTGAACTCAGCCCTAGCGATTGCGAAATCTGTCCTATATTGTTACTGTACACGAGTCCGATCGTGCCTCCGCAAATGTAAGCAATGAAATACAGCCAAAAATCAACTCGTTTCACCAATCGGCTCGACGGATGCTCTTCTCCGAGCATCGCCAGTTGATCTTTCTCGATCAATTTCCGGAAACAGCCTTTCGCTTCAACCTCGCCGTCATTTAGCGATGCAGATTCGGACAAAAGCAGAGATCCGCCATTGCCGAAGCTACCGTTCGCTTCACGACTGATCAGCTCTTTGTGAAACTCGAGATCTTCATCGTGGACGAGAATGAAGCCAGATCCGTCGAGCCTGAAGCTAGAATTAACGGTTCGACGGAACCAGTTCTTGGCATAGACAACACCTGGAATACACAGCGGCAGCACGAGAAGGCAGATGGCTCCGATGAAGAGAATACGCGCGATCATCGGATCGGAGGAGGCCATGGAGCCGAAGAGGAGAAGGTAGATTCCGACGATGACGGCGAGGAAATTCAAGAAGAGGAAAATGATAGAGTCGCGCTGGACGGCGTCGGAGGACAGAGAGAGCGAGTGCAGCGGCGGTTGGCGGAGGATGGGGAAGAGGGCGGCGATGGAAGTGAGAAGCGGAATGAGAGCGTTGAGAAGGAGGTAAATAGGAGGCGAAGACGGATTAATGGCGTTTCCGGCGAGAGTGTAGAAAGCGGCACTGACGCCATTGAAGCTCACGGTGAGAGATAACGCCAATGGCCGATTTGCAGAGAAATTTCTGATGCAGAGGACGAAACAGACGGTGTTGAACCAGCAGATGCTGCAACCGGCAAGCAAACAGAGGAAGAACACCTGCAATAATTTTGGAAAACCATCTACTTTCAAGGAGAAAAAAGCTCACATAATTGAAAATCAATAAAAAGAAGAGGAAAATACTTGTTCAATGTTGTCCACGCCGTGGTTTAATATTTGACAAAATAAAAGAAACAAAAAGTGTTTTCAAAAGATGATTGAGTTGTCAAATATTAAATGGTAGTGTGGACAAGATTTCTTATGTGAGGTGACAAATTAATAAAAATTGAAAGCTTAGTATATTATCTGCTGCCATGAGTTAGATCCACCACCTGTAGTACTTAAAATTGATGTCTCAAAATACAATTTTTTTTTTTAATTGGGGTTTGGAGTTTGAACTCCAACATCATACAAAGAAGTAATGTCATTTATGGTTGACAAACTAATATCAAAACTTTTTAACCAAGGTTTTAAATGTCACGTTGATGAAATATGAAGGTCTCAATTTCATGAAAATGTCGATGAAAATATCTATAAAATGTCGATGTTGATGAATATTTCTGGAAAAATTATAGAAATAAAAAAATTTGAAAAAAATTTAAATTAACAAATAAAATATTTCACTATTTCTAAATATGTTAAAAATTATTAAAATTAATATTAATATTACGTTTGTATTAGTGAAATTTTGTTGATATTTTTTATATTTTTTTATAATATTATGGAAATGTGATTTACCCCTTATGTCGAACCTATGAAAACATCGACATATCGACACGTCGATGGATATTTAAAATGATTTTAACTAATAAATTTCTATTTTTTTTTAATTCAAATAACCATTTTAATTTCTATATTTCTAAATATTTTGTTTTAATGTGTAAACTTTGCCTAAAAAATTATTCTAGTCAACCAATAACCATATGCCTATTAGAATTTTGAAAAATAAATTCTAGAAAACTAGTAACAAATATCAAAATAATTTTTCTAACAAAATTTGACCATTAAAACATGATATTGAGAAGTTTAAGAATAAAAGTCCCTAGGCTAAAATAATAAAGATAGTAAAAAAGTTATTATATGTACTATCAATTTTGATTTGACGCGACAACCATAGCGACGAGAGAAAATCAATCAAATACAATATGACAAAAAATAAAGATGAATGAAAAGGTGCCTGATCCTATATTACTACATAGTCTTGATTTGTATATTCTTTAGTGGGAAAGTTTGGATTTGTGTACTAAATTTGGATTTAGAAAAAGTATTAGAAGCCTAATTTATATCTAATCTGTCCTTTAAAAAAATACATTTAATTTGTCAATTTATAGTTTCTAACAATTAATTATCTAATCATGTAAAAAAAATTAATTATCTAAAAAGAAAAAGTTATAACTTAAAACATGAGTTTCAAATTTTCAAATTTATATAATTCATTTAATCAGACATTTATTTTATACCCTACGATTTTGTTTATTTTACAGCAAAAAATAAGTGTTATTTTAATAGAATAAAGTATTCATATTTTTACCAATTTAAATATAACTAGTTGAATAAGATACTTATTATTCTTCCTAATTGATGGTTAGATTTTTGTCTCCTCCCGTCTAATTATTTGAACTAAACAAAATTGAAAATTATGTTTGCAAAAAGAATAAAAGGACACATTGAGAATGATATGACAATGGACCCACATCAAGTTCCATTTCTTTTGCAAAGAAATCTAGAATTTTTAGAGAAGGAAAAGGTCATTTTTTTACAACAAAATATTATAAACGTGACACAAAATAATACATATTTATCATAACTTTTTAATCGTATTTGATTTACATATGCTATTCATTTAAATATTCAGTTATTCACAAAAATAATAACTAATATATAAAAATCGTCCCACCATTACATGTATGTATGTGTATTATATATATATATATATATATATATATATATATATATATATATATATATATATATAAACCACTACTTGTCAAAATAATGCAAATTTGTTTTGGCTAGAAAATGTACTATTCTAGAAAATAATCAGTAATTTTGTTCCTTTTATATAAAATTGATTGGTAAGAAAGGGTCAGGGAAAGACAAGGGAACGTGGTTGTTGTAACTAGAAAACTAAATTTAATTCTTATTTTGATGCATACAAATCTATTTTAATTTATACATTTTTATAGTATATTTAATTAAAATATTATATGTTTTCATGTGAATACAAGTACAAAGGTGAGTATAGATGTTAGAAATAGGTTATTTGGCATGTTGCATTTTATCTATTTATTATTTATTATTTGTGATGTAGCGTTATAAAAAAGAAACAAAAAAAGTCCACGCTTAATTAATTTAAAGCCTAATATAAAAAAAGAACTAATTAAAAGACTTTAATTCAATAAAAAGAACTAATATAGATAAAAATAGTCATATTCATCTAAAAAAAACACCATAGTTAATCACAAATCTTTTATTAAAAAAAATGGAAACATAACCAATTGAGGTTAAAAACATAAAATTAAAAATATATTTTTTTCAAATTAAATTGTAATATTCATGTTAAATATAATATAAAAGTTTAAGGACAAGTATATGATAATTTAACTATCAAAATAGAATATTTTAAAGTTTGAGAATGGGGATGGACATTTAAAGGCCAAAATATAAGTTAGATTAAAAAAGTAATGTTTAGTTCTAAAAACACAAAAAATAAAAAGAAAACTACAGAGAACGTGTAATATAAAATATATAGTTGCGTTTATACCCTCCAAATTCACACCAACAAAGTAAAAATAATCGTTTGAACTAAAAAATAAATGTTTCCATATAATTACTTAGAATTTATTTTATAATTATTATTTTTTATTCAAAACACTGAAATATTATTTTATTAATAAAATATATGTTTTATTGTTGTTTTGGATTTTTTACATAGAAAAAGGAGAACTACCACCACATGGGTGTCACGTGCTGATGTCATTCAAAACAAATTATTGTTTTTCTTTTCTTTGAAATGCAAAACAAAGTATCTAAAAAAGACAAGAATACTATGAAATATAAAAAGAAAAAAGAAAAAAGAAATCCTAAAAAATACACCAAATGGGGTTTTTTTTTAAAACAATATAGACCATTTATTAAAACATTAAAAATTATTATACTTGTTGTCATTTTTTAAAAATAATATCAGTTTAGGAAATATGTTTTAAAAAATACAAAAAGACAATGATTTATTCATCTGAAAATAACACTCTAATTTAAAAATAAACTCAACCCAAAGTTTTAAATGTCAATATAGAAATTATCCAAAATTTCATCAATTTTAAATAAGTTAAAATTTATTATTATTATTATTATTATGTCAATGATATTTTTTTTCTCATGCTTATTTTTTCTACAATATAACATAAATTCGACTAATTTATTGTGTGGGTGTCAAGCCCATTAGCAGAAATAACAAAATGTCACAAAAAATTTAAAACTCTCTATATAAACGAGTTCTAATAATAATATGAGTGCAAAACTTTCTCCTTTCTAAAATGAAGTTTTTCAATCAATGTATAACTCAATTGATAGATATATTTACTTCACCAAAATGAGAAGGTTTGCAATTCCAAAAAAATAAAAAATAAAAAACAAAAATAAGACTTCATTCAATTTATTTTAAAAATCAAACTCATGTTGCTACAAAGCTAAAGCTCTTCATAATTTGTCGACAAAAATGGAAGTTTTTCTTTTTTTGTTTTTCGACAAAAATTTCCGTTTCTGTCAGGAAATTCTGAAATTATTTTCATTTCTAATATTCTAACTTAATAGCAATAAAGCACACAAAATATATATTTTTAAAAGTAATAACAAAAGTGTACTAAAAAAAATAGTAATCATCAAAATTTACTGACATTAAAAAAAACTAAAATTTATTTAAAAGAAAACAGTTAATAAACTACTTAATAATAATTTTTAATAGGAAAAAAACAAAACGAGAAAAAAAAAATTGGGGGAACGAATCAGAGGAACCACGTTCAGACCCAATCAGTGAACGAATCCCGATTGTTTTGCAGAAACAAACGGACAATTCTTCCAATTTTTTAAAGAATCAACTTGGAAATAAGAGAATCAGTCAAAAACTGGACCAATAGCACACAATTCTAGACAGAGAAATTGATAGAGAGACGTACCAGGAAATAGGGCAAGGATATGAAATCGGCGATTACGAGCCACTGGAGGCCGTAGCCGATGAGTCCCATAAAAGCGGCGATGAACAGAACCAGCGGCAGCGGGAGGTGGAGGAGAGCCAATCCGGAGGACCAGCCGAAGACCTTGCCGAGATCGGAGGCGGTGGCGAGGTAATTAAGCTGCACCTGAGAAATTCCTAACACCGATTTCAATCTCGACGAGTAGGCGGAGAAATCGAAGTTCGTGCCGGTGAATGCCTGAATCCATATCGTCGCCACCAGAATCAGCCACTTCCGCGACTGGCCGGCCATTCAAATCGACTCCACGAACCACTCTCGGCGGCGACGGCGACGGCGGCGGCGGTGGTGGCGGTGGCGGTGGCGGATTCCCCCTTTCGCCCGCCCCTACCGGCTCTGCCTCTGAAAACTCTTGCGCTTATTATTATCGACGTGTATCGAGATGCGGCCTCATTTATTTATATCCAATCTTTTAAAATTAATTTTCGACTTTCTCGCACAATGGCCATTCGTTTTCTTTCTAACAATTTTGTTCCAGTCAGTAAAGTCGACGATTTGTTTATTATTTATTATTTATTATTTTTTAAGTTGGCAAATTAGACCAACTTTTGATAATTGTTTCATTTTTAATATTATTTGTTTAAAAATTAAGCTTATATATTTATTTGTTTTTCTATCTTTCTTTTTAAAGACATGAGCCAAATCTTGAAACTGATGTTCATGAAATTTAGGTAAGAATTCAAACACTTTTTTAAAAGAAAGGTGAAAAATATAGGAAGAAATCATGAAGAAACAATTATAATTAAAAAAATAGTAAATAAAAAATAAAATCATTCAAAGGAGATAAAAAAATTGTTATAAATAAATTTAGAAGTTATGGTCCCCTGTTGTATATGTCTGGAAGCTGGGGATTTATCTTCTCCACGGAGTTGAAGTTCTGTGAGGCTCATTTTAAACGAGATTTAGACTCTTAAGGAGAGGTAACGTGAGAAGTTTTAAATGGAAAATAGGTTCTCTACACGCCTCATTTATTTATTTATATATATTTTTTATTTGATGGTTTAACAAATTTTATTTTTACTAAGTTTTGGAGCGTTTAGGTGTCGGCAAGAATATGGAGAGATATGAGGTTCAAAGACAGAGCATTTTTTTACCCCAGAGAAGCTGCCTAAGCAATGCTTGAGGATCCCAATAATCAAGAAAGTCTAGAAATGAACTATTGGTGGTTTGAGTGTTTGTTTATTTTTTGAAAAAAAAAAAAAACTCTTTTAAGTGAGGAGGATTTAACCATAAATAAGAATTAATGTTTGGAAATTAAGCATTTAATTAAAAATAATAATTCAAAAATTATTTTTAAAATAAAAATAATAAATGAGAAATTATTCCAGAAACCCGATCCCATAAATTCCTCAAGTTGAAATCTCGTCGAGATCCCTGTAAAATTTGTGAAATTTCATTTAGATGGAGAATTAAATTGGAACAGAGACGAGAAAAGAGAAAGCTTCCCATCCCATACCCCCACTTTGCGAACATCCATTTGGAAGTATTCGATTGAAAGATGAGTAATACAAATCTAATATAAAATATATATATAAATAAAAGCGGGTGAATTTTCTTAAATTTCAATTTATGTTAGTCTTTTTTTTTTATGGATGTAATCTACCATCATATGATATGCAATGAATAGGTCATGTATTGAATTTTCAACTATGAGTTATATAAAAATGTTGTACTCTTAGAAAAAGAAAAAGTTGTTGTCTCGAAGAGAGAGGAAAAAAAAAAACTATTAGTGGTAAACTTAACCCATGCTAAATTCCACCTAATTTTTTCTTTTCTTTTTTTTTTAGTACGTTTAATTTCCATTAAAATTTTGAGCTGTTTTGTTATTCGTCTAAAAAAACAAAAGCTGGTACTAAATAGATCTAGATCTATGAACTCAATCTTAATTGTGAATAAATTAGTCTTTCACAAGAAGGTATTGAGTTTTGGTATAAAATATTCATGTGAAAAATTCTCTCTACCTTTTTCTTTTTTAAATTTAAATTGATTCTGTAATTCAAGAAACATTTCAACTTTATTTTATTTTATTTGTCTAAAGGCTCTTAATTTATTCTATTTTTTTTATCTTTTATCTTTTCTAATAATTTTTTTAGTACGACATGTAGGATAAAAAATTGAAATCACAATCTCTTGATTAAAGATGTATGTCAATTACCACTGTGCTATGTTCGCTTTGGTTTCTAATAATTTATTTTAGTCTCTGAAGAGAATTAAATTGAGAATGGCTTAGTAGCCACTATACCTTTATTATCCCCACTCGTTGTTGCACCAAAAAAAGAAAAAAAACATCCCAACATTTATGGAACTAAAAAACAATTATTTAACATAAATATAAATATGTATTTGGTTAATTTACCTAATCAACAAAATATTTAAACAAATATTTAAAATTACATGTAGTTGATTTGATGTCAAATTCCCAAATGATTTTGGGTTTTTGTTAAGAACCTTGATGACTATTTTATTTTAAAAAATTATGTTATTTCCTCACAATTATTTTGGTTTGTTTTTTTAAAAAACACATTTGAAACTTAAAATTTTAGCTTAATTTTTAAAAATTAAATAACAAACCAAAAAAACATATAAGTGGAAGCAAGATTTATAAGTCTAGTTTTTAAAAACAAAAATTCAAAAGTAAAATAATTACCAAACAAGGTCTAAATGATGAATGAAAAGCTCGCTATAACAATTAAAATAGTTTTTTTTTCTCTACATAGAGTCAAAAACTAAAACAAAAGATTTAAAGTTGAAATATTAAAATAGACTATATATACACATAAATGCATTTTTATTTTCTTTTAGATTTAAGAAAATCTAAAATGTACGGTGGAAGATTTAGCCTTCGACCTTATTTGAAATAATAAGTAATTAATCTAGTCGAACTATCTTTAAATAAGATTTGAATATTTAAAAAAGATGTGGCTCTCGCGGGCTCCAACAACCATGGAGTTTTTCAATTAAAAAAAAGATCATAGAGTTTTCCACACACAACAAAAAAAAATAATGAGAGTTGGAATTTTTTAGTATATGATGAGTGATCTTACGATTAAGTGGGCCATTCAAAATCAAGATGTCCCCGGCCCACTTGAATTAAATGTCCATATGACTGGAAATAATCATAGGATTAATATACTCGTAAGCTATTTAGAGATTATAATTACTTAAAAGGATTCAATGTCCAAAATTTACGCTTTTGTTATGAAATATTCTTTTATGTTTATACCTAAATATTAATTATTTTTTGAAATTCAAAATTGGTTATCTTATTTTATGTCTAATTAGACTTTCCAAAAATAAAAATTACCAAATCCCAAATCCCCAAAATCCTTCATTATTGCAAATTTTCGAGAAAACTCTCCTCCTTCCGCCGTTTATTCTTCTTGTCTCGTTTGCTCTCATTCCACAAACACCATTGTTTCCATTCGTTCGAGCTTCTTCTTCGTCGCCAGAGCAGATCGTTATAGCTTATTCTTTGTCGTCGGCCACTCGTCGATCGTTCGAGCACTCTGTTTATCCCGAGGTTTGTTTAGTCGCTGACTGATCTTTGTAGAGAACGCTGCCATCTGCAAAGGGAACCATATTGCCGCTGGGTCGTCAGATTTAAGTGGTGCGAAATTTAGGTGTGAATTCTTCTATATATGCAGATATAATATATATCTACAACTAAATACCATTTTGGTAGTAATAGAAACTCAACAATCGGATATATTTTATATTTATCATATATGTTTATCTTGTAATTGTATTGGATTGAATTTGCTAGGTTAATGTTAATAAGAGCAATTCATAATAATGAAGTATGTGATAAGGTGTCTAAATTGATAGAATAAGTTAATGTTATATGCATATATAATATATATCTACACTATATAAGTTTATACGAGATTGAGACTTCAATAGTTAAAGATTATATCCGGATATATTTTATATCTATTATTAAATACCAAATTGCAAGATACAATCCAGTTCTGTTGTTTTTTGTTTGTGCTGAAAACTTTTGATGTTATACTTCATAATATCATTAAATCGTGGGTATATTTTTCAACTATTTTGAATTTGAAATCATGGATAAATCTACACATTAATTAATTTAGAAATTGAAATAATGATAATATTTTTGTAATTAACATGGACTATCCATATACTAATCTCATTATTATATATGAATGAGTGAATTAAGAGATTAAGGAAAAAATTGGTACGAGACCCATAATAATTAAAAGATTATGTCTACAATTTAGCGATTTAAATCTTTTAGATTTCAACGAAAAAAAAGTTAATAATAATAAATATAAATGAAATAAATAAGGGTAAAATCGGTATTATAAAAAAATCCTACAGGGAATCTAAAAGTGTAAAATTAGAAAACTTTAGACACGTGTGAAAATAAGTTTGTAAAACAGCCATTGACGTTAACTCATAATTATATGGGAAACATGGAACTGTGGTTCGGGAATTATTTTAAGTGATAATTGAACTTGTTTTAAAGTGAAAATATGTTTGAGAATTGTTTTAAAATATCGGTTAAAATATTATTTTGGTCACTCTACTTATCTGGTTTATTTTAATTCTTGTATTTTAAAAACGTTCATTTTTGTCCTATACTTCTAATTTTGGTTCATTTTAGTCCCTATACTTTGAAAATGTTCATTTTGGTCATTGTACTTTTAAAAATTGATCATTTTAGTCCGTCTTTGCAAGATTTTAACACAAATTTTACACCTAACAAAAACTATTTAGTATAAAGTAATGTTTACATTGTAAAAAATATATTGATTATAATGTGGGGTTGAAATTGTGATGGAACAAAATGAGATTTAAAATAAAATGAAATGATCAAAATAGTCATTTTTTGAAAGTACAGGAATCAAAAATAATATTTTCAAAGTATAGAGACTAAAATGAACCAAAGTAGAAAGTACAGAGACATAATCAAACATTTTAAAAGTATAAGGACTAAAATGAATCAAAACTGAGAGTATAGGTGTCAAACTAGTATTTTAACCTAAAAAATTTATTATCTCTTAATTTGTTTCCAAGTTCACCTATTTTTTCATAATAATGGAAATCGTTCTTTTAGTTTAAAACTATCAACTTGTGAATAATTCGTTAGGAAAAAAAACTTGTGAATAATTGAAGATATTTTCGTCAAAGCTAGCATATCTCAGCGATAATTGACATATACATTCAACCAAGAAGTTGTGAGTTGGATCTCCCACCCCACAAGTTGTACTAAAAAAAGTTAAGAATTTTTTATTTCTTATTTTTGTTTCTTGATTCCTCTTTTTCAATCGATGAAAAATAAAATTGTGTTTAGTAATTGCATCAATTTTTTACTGATAAAAGAAACATAAACATGTTTGGAAACCATTTATTATTTCTTGTTCTCTAAAATTTTCAAATTAAATATTCAAAAGTTT